TCAATAGACTAAAATAAAATCATCTCAATAATTGAAGAAAAATGGAAAATGAAAATCTATCTTCATTTATGTCTTCCCCCAAAAAGAAACTTTTGAGAACTAATAATAGGAGGAACTTCTCAACCCTGATAAAGGCATCTGTAAAATCCTGCTGTTATTAATTTATTGGGGATTTCCTCCATCACCACAACTGGCCTACCCACATTCTAGAGCAAGGTAAGGACTGTTCACTCTTTCCACTTCTATTCCATATTTCACTGGAGGAATCTCTCAGGGCAATAAATAAAAAAGGAACAAGAGTATACAGATTGAAAAGTAAGATATAAAAGTTTTTTCTCTCAAACAAGATGATTTTATACACATGGAAATTCTATACTATCTCTACAAAAACTTACTAGCAACAAAAAAATAAGTGTACCAAGATCATAGGATGCGAATAATCAATGGTACTTTTACATACTAGGAATGTCCACTTGAAATTGAAATTTTAAAGTTATCATTTACCATAGCATACAAAACATGAAGAAATTAGAGACAAATTTAACAAAATATGTGCAATACCTGTATTGCTAAAATAAAAACTTTGTTGAGAGAAATCAAATATCTAAAATGAAAGTGCAATATACTATGTTTATAAATTAGAAGACCCAATAGTGGTAAAATGTTATTCTCAGATTGTATCTATACGTTCATTGAAATAACAATCATAATCCAGCAGACCTCTTTTTTTTAACATTGATAATCTGATCCTAAATTTACCTATTTATTTATTTTAGAAACAGAGTTTCTCTCAGTTGTCCCGGGCTGGAGTGCAGGAGGAGATCATACTCATTGTAACCTCAAATCTCTTACCTGGACCTCTCAAGGTGCTGAGTTACAGGAGTGAGCCACTGTGCCTGGCCTGTCCTAAAAATTTATATGGAAATGCAAATGACTTAGAATAGCCAAAAGAATTTGAAAAACTTTTAAAATAAATATAAAAAGTTTTGCAAACTTGAGTGAGGAATAATTTACATACACAAAATTATGTGTGGGGTAGAGGATTGACTACAAAGGGGCATGAGGAAAATTTGGGGGAAAATAAAAATGTTCTGTATTTTGATTATAGTGGAAGTTATATACTGTCTATATTAGTCAAAACTCATCAAACTATATACTCTAAAAGGCTGAATTTTGTGTATGTAAATTATACCTCAACTTTGTTTGTTAGTTTATTTTCAGTCCCCATAAGGACCATCAAAATTGCCAATTCTGACTATATTGCAGGTCATCATGGCAGTGTATTGGGAAAAGTTTTCAATTAGCAATAATTGTGCCTCAGATAAACCTCATTGGCCATGATACTGTCATTGAGCAAATCTAGGGAATGATTTCTTAGGGCACAAAATGCACGATCTATTATAAAAAAGGTTAATTGGATTTCATCAAATTTAAAAATGCCTGCTCTGTGAAAGAAACTTTTATGAAAATGGAAAGAAAAAGCAAGCTATAGAGTAAAAAAAAAAAGTTTGAAAAATACAAATCTTATAAAAACTTTATATCCAGAATATATAAAGAACTCTCTCAACTGAAATTTTTTTAAAAGATTAGAACGAGCAGTTTACCCAAGAAGATACACAAGTGCATGAAAAGATTCTCAAGAGCATTAGTCATTAGGGAAATACAAGTTAAAATATAGTGATATGTTTTATCACTGTACATTTATTAGAATGCCTAAATTATTTTAAAGGCAACGTCACGTGCTAGCAAGGATGCTGAGCAAATAGAACTCTCATATATTTCTGGTGAGAATGCAAAATGGTAGAGCCATTTTGAGATTATATTGGCTATTTCCTATTAAGTTAAAAATACAGTTACCACATGACATAGGAGTACCATGTCTATGTAAGTATCCAGGTGAAATGAAAACATACATCCACTCAAAGAATTCTACATTAATGTATGTGAAAGCTTTATTCCCAATTGTCGAAAACTGGAACTGGAAATGACCCAAATTTTCACCAACTGGTGAATGAATAAGCAAATTGTAGTACATTCATCCAATAAAATATTTATCATTTTTAAAATTGCTAATACATTTTAAAACATGAATACATTTCAAAAATAATATTCTAAGTGAAAAAAGACAGACACTAAAGACTACATACCATATGGCTTATTCCTACAACCTCTAAGAAAGGCAAAATTATAAGGACATGAATCAGATCAGTGGTTGCCAGGACCTAGGGGTGGGGTAGAGGATTGACTACAAAGGGGCATGAGGAAAATTTGGGGGAAAATAAAAATGTTCTGTATTTTGATTATAGTGGAAGTTATATACTGTCTATATTAGTCAAAACTCATCAAACTATATACTCTAAAAGGCTGAATTTTGTGTATGTAAATTATACCTCAATATACCTGATTTTTAAAAAAAAGTAAGAAGTATTAGATAATGTGAATAACAGTGGCATTTGCAGTCATGTTAATCTTTACAAAGGATCCAAGTTGTATGCCTCTAAGCACTGTTTTGAGGTTAAGAAATGTACTGGGTTTCTTTAATCTCCCCTTTCTCAATCCCTTTTCCAGTTGGATTTCAGCAAAGAGGAAACACCACAGGAGAATGTAACAAGAAAGTTGGTACTCATTTCAAGGGTACTTTCCCTTGTAGATTGCTTTTTTAATTTTCCATTCTATTCTATCCTATTTTTTTATTTTAGCATATTATAGGGGTACAAGTGTTAAGGTTACATATATTGCCCATGCCCCCCGCCCCCTCGAGTAAGAGCTTTAAGCATGTCTTGACTGGCTGTGTCCCTTGATGAAAGACCACACTTTTGCCAGACAACTGTTTCCACCGAAATCCCTCTGTTTTGGGGTTTCTATAACCAACCCTGACCCTTCAGGACTAGGGTTCACTATACTGAACTATCCCTTCTGCTTCCTGAACACTATGTCCATACCACTTCCTCTCAAATTACTCAATTTGTATGTGCCATCTCTTTCATGCCAGATCCTGACTGGTACAGAGAGTAAGATTCAATCCCTGGTTCCATAATTTCTAAGCTAAGAAAACTTGTATATCCACTTAACTGATTTGAGCTTTAGTTCTTTCATTCATTATATCTGAATAATTATACCTCCTTGGCAAGGTTGTTATGAGAATTAAATAATGATGTGCTAGCAGAAAAAGTTTTCATTAATATTTTTCCCTTTCTCATAAGTATCTCCCCATCCGTCACTGGACATTTATTCTTTTTATCTTTTTATTTCTTGATATGTTCCCATTTATCATTTCTCTTTTAAGGTAACAGAATTTTTTCTATCATGTATAAATGCATAATAAATCACCTAGGGGTATATAATGTACAGAAGACTGTATAAATGGCTTAAATGTACCATGGTTATGTTCCTGGAATAAACTGTTGCTATTTCTACTGCTGCAGAACAGTTAAGTCAAACTTTTGAATTAGGTCAACAAAATCCACAAATAGGGTGGAATCTTTGGACTGTCTAAGCAGGGACAGATCTGGAATAAATCAGCCACAGATATCACTTGTCAGCATGCTAAGAGAGGCGTTTCAAATAAGGATGGAAGGTACGTCAAGAATATTGGCTTCTGGTAGCATTATGATGCATCCATTATATCTTGAGAGTTTTCCATCATGTGGATTCAAGCTAGCATAATTGTTTCATGGCAGTAATGTCTAAACAAGGGTCTACAATTAAGTTGTATTTTTATCTTGACTTGTGAACTGCCGCTGCCAACTACTCAAATTTCAAGCTTGTTGAGACATATGTTATCCCTGGAAACCCTTCGTAAAAATGAAGCATTTTACTGTCCCACCAATTCAGTGCACTCTGGTCAGTTCCCCCATCTAGATCCAAATTAACCATGTAATAGTTCCTATAGTGAACAGTATTTTAAATGGCTTTTTAAGCAAAACCAAAAAGAACAAATTTATTTCTATTTGTGCAAAAACATAATCTGGTTTGGATTCTTTTTTCTAGCTTTTTAAATAGTGAGACAGAGTGCATTCATGGAGAAAGAACTGGATATGAAATTAAGAAGATCTGTATTTGAAATCTGGCTCTGCTACCACTTCCTAGCTGTGTGATCTCACAAAGTCACTTAATTTATCTGAATCTCAGTCTCTTTATCTGCCAAATGGGGATCTACTGGTGAATCAAATGAACCAATGATGATCTAATAACATTAGTACCTTTAGATGTTAATAATTTGTTTTTTAATAATTTGTGTATGTAAAGATGCAACTGTCATTGGTAGGGGAGGGGAATGAAGGATTCTCTCAGACAGGGGCAGGAATATTTTGGTTGAAAGGAAATCAAAATACTAGAGAACAAGAGCAACATAAGAATGATTACAACGTCTGCATTTATAGCCCACATGTCACAGTTGAGTATTTATAGCTTTGTTAGTGACAGCCTTCCCATTATAGCAATGTTAATTACGAAGTAGCTGTCATTGTGTTTCACTGACACAGTGCTGTGCACCTGACTGAGGCTGAAACTACTCATTATTTGCATGGTCTATCATTGAATTGAAGGGTCCAAACAATACACAAATAAATCAGTTTGTGTCTGATTATACTTTCCCTGAAATTTCCTAGTGACTTTGTAACAAATCCTAGTGCATTTTATTTCCCAAATACGATTTGTAATAATCAGAGCTGGACAAAAACCTCAGGAAGAGGTGATTGGTCTGAAGCTGAAAACAATATTAATTGTATACTTAAATTTTCCAGAGTCTAAAATCCCATTACTACTTAAATACCATGATCAAAGCGATAGATAGAATACATATGGAGAGAGAGAAAAGAGGGAGGGAGAAAAAGAGGGAGAGAGAGGGAGAGAAAGATTGAAGAGAGGCTTGGGAAAATGTTCAGTGGAAAATCTGTAGAAATGATGTAAGAGAAAGCAAAGGCAGGGATTGGAGTTAGGGGTGTATAACTGAGACTATAAAAACTCGGAGAGAAAACTCACCATCAGGGCTGAGTTTGGGATAAACTGCACAGAGAGGAATCTAAAATTAGAATCTTCTGATTTTTCACAAGGTAAGTTATATGTAAAAACTGATAAAGATTTAGATTTTTTCTTTTAACTATTATTTTTACTTTCACAGACTTTTAAATTGTTTTGATTATATATTGATTTAGTTGAAATTGAGAAATTTTGTTAATACTTCCCTCTCTAAAATGAGTAGAAATTCAAAGATATTTTTGAATACAAACTTAAGGTGGAGCTAATTGTTTCCTCAGATATTTCATATATATTACATTGCTTTTTACTTTGTTTCCATTTCAAAACAAAGAAAGGGAAAGTTCAAAAGGGAACTTAAGGTAATGATGCTATATGTGTGTTAATAGTATTATTTTGCTTTCATCAAAGATGCTCAATATAAAGAAATTTTTTAATATATAAAAGTGGTCTAGTTTAAACAACCTGGGTAAATTGGAAAGTTTTTATTTTATTTCTATCAAAATTGGAGCTTAAGAAACATCTCTAAACTAATCAAATTTTATATTCCATATTCTTAAAATAAAAAATATCCTGTTTTTCTCTTATAAAAATCAAATTTGAAATATGACATTAATAACATAGTTGGAGTAGACTTAGATCATGTTTGTTCTTCAGAATTTGCAGTACTCTTGCTATTTGGTGATTGAATTGAGAATTTATCTGAAGCATGCATTTGAGTTCTGTTTGAGAACAAATTTAAAATTTTGTTTCAGATTTTGATCTATGGAAATATAAGTGTGTACTCAATAAATTCAGGTCTAATAATGCAAAATATTGTTCCTTTGAATTATAATAACAGACTGTATAGGTTCATAAATATAATTACTATTTGTTTCTGAGTTATCCTTCTAAAACTAAAATATTTATAACAGTGAATAATAGTGATTTTAATGTCCATGTAAGATATAGAATTGGTAATGTTATAACTAATGGTTTACCCAAAAACTTTAGGCATACTTTGTGTTTTCTCTTACTTTGGTACTACTCTTCAGCACTGTTACAGAACTTTTCTAAGGAGAGCTGTCTATCAATATGAGTTAAAGTCTCCTCTGTGTAAATGAATTTCACTATGGCTTCATTCAAGAAGCTATTTAAAGTATTTAAGGTTGGCAAGTACTTTCTCTCCTTTATTTTCTGGGGTTTTGAACTGATTCTGGGCAGTAGAGAAGCAGATATCTTTAGTTGACTGGGTATAGGAACACAAGGGCTATAATTTTAATTTCTTGTTCATATACTCTGAATGATTTGAACATTTGATTAATAAAATTAGATTAATTGAGCTTGTCTCAAAGCAAAAGAACTCAAAGTAAGAAATCCTAAAATTTCTAGCTCTGCCACTATCTACCTATGCAACTTCAGGCAAGCCTTAAGCACAAATTAGGGCCAATAATGTTGTATTATTATTCAAAGGGACAAAAGAAATAGAAGTGCCAAGGATGCTGAGTGTAAGAATGACGCGGGGAAGTCCCCATGTTGGTAAGGTTTCCCTATATTAGAGAATATGTACTCAGTACCACAGAATCTTAGGGCTAATCTTTAGCCCCGACCTAATTTAATGGCTTTGCAAATATTTCCTCTACTGTGATGCCTACCCACTTGACAACTCTTGCTTAGATTCAATGGTGCAGTCAGAGAAACACAAATTTTGGAGTCAGAAAATGAGACTTCTAATCCTGGTTCTGATTTCAACAGCTTTGTGACCCTGGACAAATCAGTCAGCCTCTCTGGGGCTTTATTCTCTCCTCAGTAAAACTGGAATCTGTGGGGATACAATGGGTGAGCTACAAGTTCCCTGAGCAGCACTCTAAATGGACCAATTCCATATATGCCTGAATATCTCTCTGATTGAGAGCATTTTTTAGCTAAGATTTCCCAGTCCTTTCTTCGAATAAGTCTCAGATTACCTCTCTGAAGCAGTGATGAGCATGATTTGCCAATTACTTGCCTATTGCTTTCCTTGGCTTAAAATGGCTGTTGCCCAGCATTGCCTCTTCTCCTTATTGACACCCCATCAGCTCAGCCCTTCATACCAAGATCCTCCTCTCTCCAATACCAGTGCCTCTGCCTCCACCTTCTTCTGCTCCCTCTCCTCTATATCCCTGTCCTATCTCCTCTCCCTTGAGCAAGCTCATTCTCTCTGAGCCTCACTTTCTCCATCTACTGAGAGTGTTAAATTCCATAACTCTAATGATTGCTTTCTCTCTTTCTCAAATTCCATATTCCTGTGACGTATAAGGCTGTAAACGTAAAAACTTCACTCTGAAAATATTATATAAAATGATAATAAAAATTCATTTTAGGTAGCGTAATTGGAGCTTGAAGAATAATTAATTATGCCTTGAGTACAACTGAACTTTCTTCCCCTTGATTCCTTCCCAGGATGCTATTTTCTATAATTGTATGCTATTTTTATAGAAATATTGTGACTCAAAATAATGATAATGCATCAAATGTGAGAGTGCTACCTATAACTCTCTTTAGTAAAATCTCCTTCCCCTACTTAATATTATTTTCTTTATTACATTTTATTTCCTATCACTCTGCCATAATTCTAGATTTCTGAGGACTAATTTTGTTCCTTAAAATAAATGATTAAAAATAATATTTTTCATAAAAGTAAAAAGTACTAAAAATATTCTGAAAAGTTTGTCATATTTAGAAGGTACTATCAGGATAATGATAACTATGATATATTGAGTAACCAATTTGTGCCAGTCACTTTACCTGTGTTTTTCCTAATCCTCATAATTAGTCTACTGAGTAAGTCTTTACCCTATTTTCCTGACAAAGATGTTAAAACAGAAAAGCTAAATAACATGCCCGCCCATCAGGATTCAGATCCAGGTCTGCATAACTTAAGGACCAACCTCTTCCTACTAATTCATTTTATTATATTAGAAAGTGTACATAAAATATCAGGAGTTATTTAGGACACCACGGTTCTAAAGTAACTCAGCTTATTTCAGTTCATCAATTGAAAAAATAGAACCATAATGTTTTCTATATAGATGAAACAAACATGACTGTTGTGAGAATGGAGATAACTTAATTTCAAAATAATAAATCACTATGGAATCACTATGCTATTTTTAAAAAGGTTATTTATAAAGATTATACTCTTCAAGTATAATCTTTCTTCAAAAATGGAAGAATTCCAGAAAGAGTCTGCTTTTGCAGAAGGAAATCCCTGGGCGGGGCAAGTGGTTGAGGGATTTCCACCTCATCCAGGCTGTGAGCAACTGGAGGACAGAGAGACTGTCTGACTTACTTTTATATCCCAGTACCAGACATATGGTGTATGACTAATAAACACATCCTGTTGTTGATTATTATAAAATTTACATTTTTAACTCTTTGTTTATATGTTAGAGTTCCTTTTCCATTGATTATATTGGCTAGTTTGATGTAATTAAAGTGTAAGACTTTTATTAAATATTATATATAAATACAAATTGGGGTAAAGAGTGAAAAGAGTGGTGGATAGTTCACATTATCTTGAGGCTTAAATATGTTATATTTACCTCCATTTATCCAACTTTACTCTCTGAAAGCCTTTTTATGCCACATGAAAATTCTGTATGTATCAAACGGCCAACCATAATGTTTATGTGCAACTCTTTCACCTTTTTTCTATCCATAGTTTTAAAGGTTTTCTTTTTTACATTAGTGAACATTAGAATTAAACAACTAATTTCCTTAGCAGAATTGTCTACAATCATACACTAAAGTTCTTTTCTGTTTCTAAGTGACATAGTTTTATATCAAGAAATACTTAGTTTTTCAGAGATCTAAGTGCAGATTGTTTCATAAGGAGAAATCTTAAACTCTAGAGGGAAGATTATTGAAGAATATTGATTGATGCATGTCACTTTTTTCGTTTTTTAAATTTTTACTTATTCTGACTACATAATAGTTTTATATTTTTATAAGGTATATGTGATGTTTTCACACAGGCATATAATAAATCAGGGTAATTGGGGTATCCATCACTTTAGGCATTTAACATTTCTTTGTGTTAGGAACATTCCAATTCTACTCTTTTAGTTATTTCAAAGTATACTCTAACTTATTGTTCATTGTAGTCAATTGGTATGTTCTAACTGATGTGCGGGAGCTAAATATTAAAAACAATTGGACTCATGAAGACAGAGGTAGAATGATGGCTACCAGAGGTAAGGAGTAGGGGATAAAGTGGGGATGGTTACTGGATGCAAAAATACAGTTAGATAGATAGATAGTCACTTTTATAAGAATGAGGATCTATGATGTGAAATATGAATGGATATACAAGAATACCACTGTGAATTTTACCACATTGTACTATACGTATAAAAACTGGGACCAATCTCTTCTCTTCTCTAAGCATTGGTTTCCATATAAATAAAACAGGGATATTCCTGTTGACCTACAACATAAAGCTGTTTCATTCATTCATTCAGTGCATACTTTTGACTCAATAAAAGGTATTCTGTTGATTGCAGAGATGCAATGATGAACATGACATAATCCCTGCCCTCCATAAGTTTACAGCAACACCTAAGTACTTTGTTAAATGTGGAAATCTATTTTTGTTTTTGTTTTTTTAAATTAAGGGATCTTTCTTTAAAGTGGCATTGTAGATTTCTGACTTAATTTTTTTACAAGAAAGAAACCAGTGGTATGATTCAAATAGAAAAAAAATACAGAGATATGTAACAACAAAATTTTGAGATTTTGGAAGACAAAAGTGTCTAAAAAGTGTGAAAATGGTGCCAAATAGTATAAAATTAGTTGCCACGTATACTACTAAATTATCATTCTTCATGATTTGTAGCATTCAAGGAAAGTCATTTTAAAATGTAGGTGCCTGCTACATCAAGAACACCTCATGCATAAAATATTTACATTGTAAGAAATTTGTTTTGGAGATGGAAAAATGTTTTACACTTAAACAAATAGTTTATACTTGAAAGAGTATGAAACTGGGAGTCTAAAAATGTAAGTTGTTGTTCTGGCTCTTCTTCTAACTGACTTTGTGACTTTGGAAAATCTACTA